AGAGTTGGAGTGCTGGAGGGGCAGGGGTGCCAGAGGCAGGCTCTAGCTGTGAGGCACTTATCTAAGCCAGCAGCCCTGTAGCACCCCCCAACCATGCTGGGCTCCCTGCCTGTTGCAGCCCCAGACCGCTTAAAAATACAGGCTGTTCCCGCCACATGGCTCTCAACTCTGGGTGGGGGAAGAAGCTTGCAAGGCCCCGGCTCCCAGGCCAATCTCTCAGCTCCGAATGGCTGGCTGTTTCCAGCCAATAGGAGCTGAGAGATTGGCTGAAGTCAATTTTTATTGGCCAGTTGCTTCAGGCCAATAGGAGCGGAGGATTGGGCTGGGGGCGGGGAGAACACAGGAAGCTTCCCCACTCCCTGCAGAGCAGAGAGATTCAGAGACTGCACTTTAAGCTGTGTGCCTGAGGATCCTAGCAGGTGGCTTGGCAGGCCGAATCTTGCCCAGCCCTGATCTAAAAGGTGGGGTTTATGGTCAAGAAGATTTACATTTCTCCTTTCAGTGGGATAATATGGATTAGAAACTACTAGGAGACTGCACCAACTCCTCCTCTCTCTGGCAGCTTTCGCGGCCAGAGAGCATGACAACATCATTCTGTTGCCCGGCAGGAAAAACTTTTTTATATATAGACAGAGATATTACCAAAAGTAGTTGGTGATCTGAAGTGATTTAGCTAATGAAAATGAACCATACAGTGGTCAGTTTAATAACCCTACCAACAACTAGCTCACCAAAATTCAGTTATAGCTACAGTAACACTCCTGCCAAATTCTTATTTATTTTGGGTGGAATTCCACACACAGTCATCTACTGGAGTCAGAAACAGTTATGCACATTAATGGGAGAATTTGGCCTGACATATTTGTTTTGTGAATAACATGCTTATCCTAATAAAGTTTACAAATCAGTTATTTTGATTAACTACACATGAAGCCATACAGAGCGATCAATGTATAAATGTTTTAAAGACATTATAAACAAGACAACAATGGTTTCTAGGTGGAGGGTCAGTCCAGTTTAATCATAGCAACTAGAATAATGAATCATAGTCTTAGTCACCATCCTTTTGGTCCACAATTTACAACTTTCCAAATTAAATGTACACATTATCTCCAGAGAGGAAACAAGATGAGACATTGTATCTATAAAATACACTGCAGGTATTTTTAAACTTTTTTTTTTTTTAAAAAAAAGCAATTACTTACCATGACAGCAAACACTTCTAGCATTAATAGCATTTTGGAGTGTTTATAATTTACCCATAAGAAATGAAGAACTCTCACCTGAGTGCATATGTATAGCCAGTGTTCTCTGGCACACATTGGGGTGGGGTGTACGTATGTAGACGTGAAAAATCCATGGTGATTGTTTCAAATCATACTGCAAAAAGGTGAAAATAAAGTGATACAATGGTTTTAAAAGTATTTAAATTCAAGGTAGAGCCCTTGCTTTGTTCAGCCTGTTATGGAATGGTGCAAATACTGCAGTAGAAAAAATTTCTGGCATAAAAAAAAACACCTACATTCCAATATATAAAGTTCACTTTTTTTTTTATGTTACTGTTCTTACTAGATATCCTTATCAAAACTGCATGAACCTAAACTGTTTCCTCTTGAGGACAGTTTTCCTTTTGAGCAGGCCTAGGCTGCAAATACCAAAAATAGATTTGAGTTCTCTCGAATGCCATCATAAAATATATCAAGCTGCTATCACTAATTATACCACACCACTTTCCAAGTGATCGACAGATCCCATACTGTGCTACACTATTAAAAAAACCCAGAGATTTTACACTACCTGAAGTAATACCTTTAAAATATCATCAGTAACTCCATGGCCACTCTCCAATTACACACTAGTTCCTAAAAGCTTTTATTATATGCTTTGCCACCTACAAAGCCTAATCCTATTGTCAACTAAATATTTTACATACAGTCAAGTTGTTTTCTTTAAAAGTCTTCTGAATATCATTCACTAAACAGTAGAGTGTAATTCTGAATTATCTTTCTTAAAAAAGAAAATTAAATGAGGAGCAGTTCACTATTTTGGGATTGGTACTAAACTAATCTTCTGAGTAAAACACTCAGATGCACACACCCAGACAGCCAAGTCAACAGCAATCTAAGTCACACAGCTGGAATTTGGAACATTTTCCTGAGCTGCTTTCAGTTCAGGTTTTTGAAGAGACTACTTGTAAAGATCTAATTTAAAATTTGTATTGAGTATTGAAGTAAGAATAGGGAAATGATGTTTTCATTCACACCAAGAAAATAATTTTAGGACAATTTAAGATACGTTTGCTCACTCTTCTTCAAGCACTATACTTCAGTAAGTGGACTAGATATGTTGTTTCGGGCCCATGAACGTATTAGAGACTAACTGGAATAAAAGAATAGCATCAAGCACATTTTAACTTAGACCCAAAATTTCAGACAGTGCTCCCCTTTTGCAAGTGCTATTTGTGCCTGCAAATAAAATGGGGACACATAAGTAGTTGGATAACTACGTATTTGTTCCAACAAACAACTGTAGGTACAAAGATACAGGTACAGTTTGTGCAAGTATTAAAGGGACTAGGCTTTTGAAATATAGTCCTGGATGTTGCAATACGGATGCTAATAGATACTAGAAGCCATCAAGCTGTATGTACACTGCAGTTCCACTGCTACAGCTGAACCAGCAGTAACATTGGCAGGTATTTTTTTTTGCTAGAATTCTCCAATTTAGACATGGTCACTAGTTCCTAGACTCTTAGGGTACGTCTAGACTTACTTTCACTTTTGAAAGATATGCAGATTTGGTGGTAATTTGCATATCTTTTTCCAATCGCTTTTTCTAAAGTTTTTTTTTCAAAAAAAGCAAACAGTTTAGACACGGTTCTTTAAAAAAACAAAACAAAAACAAAAAAACCCCTTTTTTCAAAAGAACCTTCTTCCTCAAAAATTGAGGTTTACAGGTTCTTTTAAAAAGGGGGGGTTCCCCGAAAGAACCGCACCTTAACTGCTTGCTTTTTCTTTAAAAAAACAAAAAAACAAAAAAAAAGCCACTCAGAAGATATGCAAATTACCACCGAATTTGCATCTCTTCTTTCAAAAGTGAAAATAAGTCTAGACTACCCTTAGAGTAAACATCTCCCTACAGATTGGACTAGCTGTCTAAATCAGCTGCCACACTTCTACGATAATCTGTCGGCCTTTGGACACCAAAGATAGAACAGTTCTAGAGAAGAGATCTCCTCAAAATTTGTTAGATCTCCTGTTCCAGAGCACATCTGTTTTCTGAAGCTTTTTACCTGACTGGGTTATTTGAGGGAGAGGATGGGGGGTTAATAAGGAAACGATGTTGACTAAGCACTGCAGGCTTTTAAATAAGGTCCATACATTTTTGGACAGGACAGCCAACATATATAAATTGTAAGTATTTTGCTTTTCGGTAAAAGGTGGCCAGAAACTATGCAATGGATGGATTTAAATACACACACAGGTTTTGAGAGAAAAATAGATTTTTTTAATTACAAGGGTTTTTTTAAATAAATCTCTTTAAGATGGAACCTGAATGTAATACAAAATGTATTAAGGCCTAGTCTTATCTCTTAAAACATTTAAATGAAAAATAAAGATGCCAAATCCAAGAACATCTACCAAGAATCTGAGTTGAAAAGTTTGCTTTCCTATATAAAGGAAAAGTTGGGAGGAAAATCATCTAACTTTTGAGGTCAAGCTTTATTAATATGCCACAATGGAAAATGTAATGTATTAAGGGCTTGATTCTATAGGAGATTGGGGGCTTTGTTACCTTTTGCAAGAGACTGGCAAACTCATCTAAGGCATTGGGATCCAGCCTTTTACTCCAGGAAACATAAGGTATTTCATTAGAATCATCCACAGAGCCCATGTGAGGGGACTTCCTAACCTGTTTTATAGTTTCTCACTTCCTGAGCTGTGACTCACTCATTTCTCAAGCTTGCATATTTATGACTCCATCCTGCAAGAAAAGTTACTCTCCAGGTCACAGAGAAACTCTGATCTGCCCTCTAGCTACTAACCCTTGCTTCTGGATGGTTTATATCAGTTCAAGTAAATAGCCCTGCTCTGTGCACAGTCACAGATACAAACAAATCCATTAGTTTCTCAGCTGACAATCTCTCTACACCAAAATAAACAAACTACTGCAGATGAAAAAAGAAATGTGTGTTAGTCACTAACGGGACTGTTAGTTCTTTTGTTTTTAATCAGACTAAGGGAGTTATGCAACTAGGGAGAAAAAGAAACCAAAAATCAGCAAGCCTGATCCCAAAGCATAGCAGTGTAGGAATAAAACAACAGAAATAACCTAGGACTGGAGGGGAAAAACCTGCTATGGCTGCAGGTCATTAAAAAAACCTATGTGGGAATTTATTTTCAAGAAATTTCTGTTCTTTTTTTACCCAGAAGAACACATGCTAATTGCAAGTGCAACAAAGGCCTGATTATCAGCATGAAACAACAGTGTGAAAAAAAAAAAGTTTTTCTGACCGCCATGATTTTGAAGATAATGTGGACATCTGTACAATTTGGCTCAATCAGTTAGTAAACTTATTTTTGAACCATTCTTATAGATTGCTTACTGTATCATACTAGGCTATTGTATGATAAGCACCCTTGGGACCTGACTGATCCCAAATGAGGGAATTTGCTGGATCCAGGGAGGTCCCCTGTCACCAGCCTCCCAAGACTCTGTCCTTCCCTCCTTCTGGCTCTGCTCCAGCCCTGCTGCTACAGGACTTGGGGCTTGGCTCTAGTCCACTTCTACCAGCTGGCTGGGGCTCTTTTGGGATAGAGCTCCCCAGCCACTGCGGCCCCGCTTCTGTCCTGCCTGGCTAGGGCTCCCTGGGGACTGGGTCCCACTGCTGCCGCGCTGGGCTAGGGGTCTCCCACCACTGGACTCCCAGCTGGCGTGGCTCTCTGATTCAGCAACATCCGTGATCCTGCTGGATGACAGATGTTGCCGGACCAAAGTCCCAGATTTAGAAGGTTCAATCTGTAAAACCTTCTTTGATAGTGTTGGACAAAATGCAGAAAAGACTGCTACTGTGTTGCTGATGATGTTTACATTTAAAAAGAATTTCAAGACACACTGAAGAAAAAAATACCTCAAAATTTAAATTGCAGACAATAAAAAAGGAGAGGGATCAAGCATTTACTCCACCTCATTATCTTGCCAGTATTCTCACACTGAAATAGCAGGGTAGATGTCTAACAGCAGCAGCATCTTCAGCAATAACATGTACATCCATATATCAATCATGCCAACCATAATAAATTCCAGCATGGAAAGTGAAACATTCACACAGTATATGTTCACTGCTGATGCTTTAAAGAAGTCACACCACTGAACTGATGGAAGTCACTAGCCAAGCACCTGGAACCAGAGTTTGTTGAAGTGCAGTATCTGACATCAACAGACATAGGCTTTGTCTACACTACACATTTTTGTGGCAGAAAATATGCTAATGAGGGACTCGTTAGCATAAGTTGCGACATTAGCATATTTTCTGCTGTTTTTTGCGAAGCAGCATACCTTATGCCTCTCTGCCGCAAAAACGTGCAGTGTAGACAAACCCATAGAAAAAAGCATTTTCTTCATTTCATTCAAAAGTGAGAAATCAAATGAGAGTTGAAAAAGCAAGAAAACTTACCACCCTTTTCTAAACTATGAATAAAAATGAGATGGGATCAGATCTAGTTTTACAAGTTTGAAGAACTGCCAAAGCAACTTAGGAGACTGTGAAGTCCCTGGAAAGTTAGATAAATAGGTACTTAAGCTCCAGTTACTTTCACATAGATACATTTTAAAATTTCCCAGACTGATAAAAGATTTAGTTTAATTCACTGACCGTTAATCCCTGTGTTCCTTTATTAAAGTTAGGGATGTTAAAATGTGTTTAATCAAGTAAACATGGAACTACTGAAATCTTAAGTGGTTACTTTTGGGGAGAGCAGAGGGAAGGCGGTTCCCCAGGAGCCAGTGCACATGGGCGGCCAGTTTTTAAGCCAGCTCCCTGCATGCACCAGCTCCTGCCTGCCCCCTTTTCCCTACGTCCTCTCCCCTGATATGGGGGCAGCAGCATGGGGAGAGAGAGGGGAGAGCTGGTGTGTGCTGGGAGCCAGCTTTTATGCTGGCTCCCCATACATACTGGGAGCCTGCATGTAAACCGTGATTGTTAAATCGATGAGCCCAGGTTCATCGGTTAACCGTACATGGTTACACTTTCACATCCCTAATTAAAATCATTCAGATATAAACATGTTTTGATAAGAAATGTATCAAACATTTAAAGTTTGTTTTGTTTAATAAAAATAAATTTTATATGCTGTTATGTGTTTAACTTTGCCACCATC